TGTACATGTGTGTTTTGGAGGTCATATGCCAAAATATCAGCATTCTGAAGGTTGGAGTTCTTTGTGGTTTTATTATTTTATTTCTTTCTCATTTATTTATTGATGGGTTTTTTTTTTTTTTTTTTTTTTTTTTTAAACAGGGTCTCAAGCCAGGCATGGTGGCATGCACCTTTGATCCTAGCACTTGGGAGGCAGAGGCAGGTGGGTCTCTGTGAGGTGCAGGCTAGCTGGGGCTACAGGGAGACCCTATCTCAAAAAGACCAAACCAAAAAATAAAAACAGAATCTCATCACGTAGCTCTGGCTGGCCTGTAAATTCCCTATGTAGACAGTGTTGGAATGAAAGGAGAAAATTCCTATTTCTGAGGGATTTACATCTACGTGAATCAGGCAAGTCAGAAATAATAATATAAATACATTCAGAAAAACAATCTTCAGATAGTCAATGTATGTAAAGCAAGTAATACTATGCCTAACATACCTTTTGATAAGGTCTCTTAGGTGATAGGCTGGAATCGCGGCATTCACCACTGCTTTACTGGCAAATATATGATCAATAATAGCAGAACTGTTTGCCTGAAAAAGGGAGCAAAGTCTTCCTTAGGTTATTCAACTCAGTTTGTATTTACTGAGCAGTAGCCACACAGAACTGTTTCGTGAGCATCATGCAACTCATCTGAGAACTTAAAATCCTAATGGAGAAAACTGCATAATCCTGTTTCTAGAGAGGGACTAATACAGAACCTGGAATCTACTAAATGAACAAATATAACTAAAGAAATCACATTTGGATGCAGTTTAATGCCAAGTGAGAAAATGAAAGCAGCAGCTGGGTCAGGGTTGTTAATGATGTCCTTAGTTGTTTTCAGGTAGAAATAAACAGTCATTGAGAAAATGAGGAAATATGCATTTGCCATATTATTCACTCTATAGACTTAACACTTTCTCCTTGAGCATCGGTTAAGCTTCACTGTCAATTCAGGATCACCCAGGACATCGGAAAGGTGCACCTCTGGGTGTGCATGTTAGGGCATTTCCAGAAATGATTAACTGAAGGGGGAAGACCTGTCCTACATGTAGGGAGCACCATCTCTCAGGCTGGGGGCAGAAAGCCAACTGAGCTTCACAGTGCTGTCTCTCTGCTTCCTGCCATCATGATGTGAGCTGCTCTACCCTGCCATTCCCTCCATGCCCCCAAATAAATGTTTCCATTTTATCACAATGACAACAGCAACAGAAAAAGTAACTTAACACAAGTTCTGTAAGTACTATGCTAACTCAAAATGTACAATTGTATGTGAGTCAAATAATCAGACACCATCATTCGCTTTGAAATGTACATGTTTACCTTACCATAGGCCACACACTATACTAGAATTCTAAGCATTGTTTCTTTTTTAACTTTAGTACTCCTATAAGCTATTATGTTATCTTCCCCCTATTTCAGGAAAGTAAACCATGATTTGATTTAATGAACACAAATACCTTAGTAGGGATGAATAGTAAGATAGTTTCACTTCAGAATCTATGCTCATACCCATTTTGGCAATTTTCACTCTACAGAAACTGTTAAAACAGAATATATGTTTTACCTAAGATGCATATATTTGGGATTCTATTAGTATGCCTCCAAATTCCACACAAACTTGAGTGTGAGCTACTTCTAATGAGGTTTGAGTCAAGAAGATACAGTCGAAAAGGTTTAAAGTCAGCGAAAGTGATTCAGGTGATTGATTCATATTCAGACTAACACTGAATAAATAATATTTTTTGTTATCTGGGAATACCAATAATAAAAAATGATACTGTTTGTACTCCCATTATAGCATTTTGGGGGGCCAAAAATAAACATTAGCCAATCCCACTAAAGGGTTAGTATATTGCTTCCAGGAATCTCTAAACTAGAAATCAGTGATTGAGGGTTCAGGAGAATTGAAACTATGTTATAATGTCACCTACTATGTAGATGCTTACAAGTAAAACATTTAATATCACAACCTTATTTAAAAAACTCAGATCTAATACTAATTCCAAAATACTGTATTATGTATCAATCTTCAAGCCTGAAGGATAGAGAACATCACAATAATGAAGTCTCACAATACCTTTGAAAAACTAACAATGTATGTCTATGTTTTTATACAAAAAGTGCATCCCAGTGTCAGAAGTTTTGGAACTTAGAATTATGTTCCCCTAGAAACAATGATATAAGCAGTAGGCACTACACCATAGTCACATAAGAAGCTAACTAGCCAGTAGAAAATGTCTAAACAGCCTATGAAATACAAACAAACATGAAGTGCTATGGAACTGAGGAGAGCACCCCAAGTTGGAATAGGAGAACACCCAGCTGCGTGATCTGGAACGAGCCACTTTATACTACTGTGCATCCAGTTTTTGCTTGTACAAGATACGTAGCCAATGTCGGCTCTATCCTCATAGAATTGCTCAGAAAACTTAATGATACTGTGCATTAAAGTTCTTTTTAACAGTAAGCATTACTATACAAAGATTATCAATTAAATTATCACCTACAGTTCTGTTAAGGATACTTTAGAAACTAATGTAACTAAATTAGTAAACAAAGGAAATTACTTTTGACTATTTGGAAAAATGCATTCATACATGTCATCAAATACTTAACTAGGACCCAGACTAGAAACTGAGAATGCAATGTCATCAGTGCTACCTGTGGCTGAAGGTATGAGCGGTGGCATTTAAGGTACTAGAAATACAGAAAGAGGAGCATGGGGAAGAGGATGCAATTGGATTCCGTGATCCTCCCCTCTTCCCCTACACACATACACACCAATCATCATCATAAACTGAACAGTCCTAAATGGATTAAGAACCACAAAGCAAAACACTAGTGCAGTTTACCTTCCATTCCTGAGATCTGACTGTATGTTTCAGTTTCATTCCTGAGAACATTTCCAGTAAAATGATTCCCAGGCTCCAGAGATCAACAGCAGAGGTGCACTCTGTGTCACTCTGCAGGCCAGCTTGGGCCAAGCAGTTTTGCAGCTCTGCTTCTGGAGCCCGATACCCGTCTGTCTGGATATATTTTACATCCTACAGAAGATGAATAAATATTACAGCCATTTAGAATCTTCTAGCTTTTTATCTCTACCATGTATTCTCTTAAAGTGCAGTAAGCCACTGCTAAAATGAATGTTAAAAATGTTTTGTCCAGTCCAAGGCCAGCCTGGTCTACATAGTAAGTTCCAGCCCAGCTGGGGCTACTGGGAGACCCTGTCTCAAAAAGACCAAAAAATAAATAAATAAATAAATAAATAAAATGTTTTGTCCTTAGCTACCAAAATTCTCCCGTTCCTTAACTGGGCAGTAAACATAGAAAAGCTGGACACTTTCCATATAGCTTCTCATAAATAAGTCTTTTTAGATAGTTCTTACCTATTATGCACTGCTGATAAATAAGGACACTCTGCAAAGACATAATAAACCAGAGAGATGAAGGATTTGCCAGAACTGTCATATATGCAGTCTGCCATGAATTAGAGCTCCCACACTAAAGAAACCAGGAACCATAACCCAGCAATTAACCAAATGCTGACAGAAGTTTTAAAAGCATTCTGTATAGGCTAAGTATGTTAATTAATTCCAGAGCTTTCTTCTTTTATTTATTAGTTTTATCTTATGTGTATGAGTATATTGCCTGCATGTGTGTAAGTGCACCCGTGTCCTGCAATGCCCGAGGAGGTTAGTAGAAGGCATCAGATACCCTGGAACTGGAGCTACAGATGGCTGTTAATCACCATGTGGGTGCTGGGAATTGAACCTGGATCCTCTTAACTGCTGAGCCATCTCTCCAGCCGTTCCTCCCCCCCCCCTTTTTTTTTTTGGTCTTTTTGAGACAGGGTCTCCCTGTAGCCCCAGCTCTCCTGGAACTCACTATGTAGACCAGGCTGGCCTTGAACTCACAGAGATCCGCCTGCTTCTGCCTCCCAAGTGCTGGGTTTAAAGGCGTGCACCACCATGCCTGGCAAGCCCCCCCCCCCGCCTTTTTTTTAAATTTTATTATTTTCAGAGCTTTCTTGAACCTCACTAGCTCCTGCTACTTGACCCAAACAAGGGTCATTTCTTTCACAAAACAGCACTGAAATTCTTTTAATTTGCTCTGTCCTTGCCACTTTGGTATTTTTTAAATGCTTCTTTAGTTCCTACTAAATTATTGTTATCTAAAATATTTGGCTTAGATCATAAAATTTTAAACCACAATGGAAAAGAAATTTCCTACCTGATTGCCTTCTTTGAAGCTAAGTCCAAAGTCAATCAGTTTAAAGCATTCATTTTCTGCACTCCACAATATGTTGCGTGGTTTGAGGTCTGCATGGACATAACCCTCATGATGCAGAAAAGCAAGGGCCTCCAGAACATCTCTGGCACAATGCTGTATCATCCACATGGAACAACCCTGGTGACTGGAATATAAAAGCAATTCCGAAACACTGACATCTAGGAGCTCGAGCAACAGACAGCGTGATGGCACATTTGGAGAGAAGTGGATTGTAAAGACTCCATATAAAGTCACTAGAAAAAGAAGCAGATTATAATACTTTAATAATCAAACAGTAACTTACTACTAAAGTAGTTAATCCTGCAATATAATGGTCTAGATAAGGATAACTCTCTGTGTGTGTGTGTGTGTGTGTGTGTGCGCGCGCGCGCGCGCGCATACCTACAGAGGCCAGGAGAGCACTAGATGCCCTAGAGCTGGAGTTGCAGACTGCTGTGAGCTAAACACCTTGGGTGCTGGGAACCTAACTCCGATTCTCTGCAAGAATAGCAAGCCCTCTTAACCACTGAGCCATCTCTCCATTCCCTAGATAAGAACAACTTTGATGAGCAAGAAATTTCAGTATTTTTCCCATAAATCAGACCTTTGGACAGCTAGGTGATTTTAACAAAATAAGACAACTTTCAAAATCTGATTGCTATTCAAAGATATTATATATGGCATTTAAACTGTATTTCACTAAGCATTCAGTGGTGGGTGAATATGCACTTAAGGTGCCAAGAAAAAAAAATTATTAAAAGCAAAAAACTAGTTTTAACTCCCTTAAAAACAAATTAAAGATTGCCCTGTGATCCAAAATAGCATTCTATACTCTAAATATTAAAGGACACTATTAAGACATTCCAGGTGTCATTTAATGTAATCTTGCAGAGATTCAACAAGTCTTGGGTCTCGCAAAAATTTTTTCCTGTTCAATGCCAAGGTTATATATAGTGTTAGGGTTAGGGTTAGCAAGCTTTAAAAAAGTGCAACATTAGTGTTAGGAAATTCTTCTGCCACATGGCATTATAAAAAAAAAAAAAGATCATTCAGGTTAAACATACATTTGCCAAAAAGCAAAGCATTTTTTTTTTTATCAACCAAGGGCATTAACTAATCAAGCTCTCTGCTGGTGAGGTGACAAGGTAGACTGTTTTCATAGACCATCAGTGGCCCATGCACAGCTTCCATTCTGAAAACCTGAGTCATCAGTTTTACCAAAGCAAAAGCAGAGTTCCTAAATTTCACACTTCCTCAAAGATTTCTAAGTAATACTGTGTCACTTCTCCCAAATCTACACTAATATTAGCATACCATTAGATGTCACTGATGTCATTAGATACCAATGATGTCGTAGCTCTAGAATATTTTCCATTTTCCACTGTTAGGCAGAGATGCAAACATTTCCACTCAAGACAACGACTGTTTTGCAAGGGCATGCCTCCCTTCACTAGAGAAGGTATTTCTTTATGCTAATGAGGGAGGCACTCTGAGGAAACCCAAAGCAATCAGGACTTTACTAAGCATTTACTATGTGAAACTGGCAAAATGGATCACCGCCTCCATCGTACCGCAGTTATAAGGTGAAGGGGGATGGGAAAGAGCCTGCCTCGGTTGACAACCCAGGGGCCCGATGGTCTCCTGTCCTACCGAACGACCAAAGAGGCCCGGCTGAGCACCTGCATGCTTGGCCCGGCACCTGGGCAAGGGACAGGGGAGACACCGCAATTACCGATGTTCCGGTGACCCTGCAACTGCTCCAGCGCTGCCCTCTCTTTGCGGAAACCGTACTCGGCGGCCGATGCTGCAGCCCCGGTGGTTCCCGGGGGCAGGAACTGCTTGAGGGCGCCGGGGGGTGAGCCCGGGGTGCCGCAGCAGCGCACCCGATACACGGAGGCAGAGGAGCCGCTGCCCAGGCGGCTCTGTACCTGCCACAGCCGCCCGAAGGCCTCCAGGAACCGCGGCGGCTCGGCGCCCCACGCGCAGCCGGACCCCGCCATGGTGTGGGCTCGGGGCACTGACTCGCCAGCCACGCGACTCCCCCTCACATCCCCGCCGGCCCGCCGCTCCGCAGGGAGGGGCCTGCAGCAGCCGTGCCGACTCCCGGGACCTCAGGCCGCCATGACACCGGAAGCCGGAGTGCGCCCAGGCCCCAGGAGCCGGAAGTGGAGGGAGAACCGATCCTAGAGGCTGAAGGAGGCGGGCCCAGCAGGGGCGGGGCCGCGAGGGGACCAGAGGAAGTCGAGTCTGAGAGACACTCAAATGACTGGGCCTGGAGATGTAGCCCAGGCTGTTGTGATTGCCCAGCATTTTGCAAGAAAGACCCTGGGTCCAGCCCCCAGCAGCACACACACACGACGTTAAACTTCATTATTGCTTACCTTTTGTGTTAATCTTTTGCTTTATTGTTTATTTTATTTTAAAATATTTTTATGTATGCGTATGTGTGCTGTATGTCACGTGTATGGGAGTGTCTGTAGAGGCCAGAAGAGGGCGTGGAATTCTTTGGAGCTGGAGCTCAGGATGCTGGGAGCCAAATTTGAGCGCCCCAGAAGAGCAGCAGTGCCCCTAACAGCTGAACCATGTTTCCGGCCCCTATTTTTAAAATTTATTTATTACATATTATTACTGGTCTACCTCTTTTAACACTCGCCACCCAGTATCCATCATCAATATCTTTATAGTATAACCCTGATTTTGTTTAGGACAATACTTTACACAGAAGAAACACCTCTTGCCTCTCTGGGCTAGGAGTGGCCAGACAGCACAGGTCCGATAAGTGAGATATATTGCACATCATGGCATGGATTTATTGGAAAGTTTTGCTTGCCTCAGCCAAATGTGTTTTTCTCCCCGTGGCTTCCTTTCTCCTGTATAGCAAACACACAGAAAGCTAAGGACAGATTAGTCATCTTGTGCCCATTGAAGCAACTGAGAGAATGAAAGCCAGATACTAACACATTAATTGGGTATAGATGAATTGTGACAGAGACCCAGACTACAGTGTCCTAAATATGAAAATGTTTCTCAAGTCAGCAATTTCACCATTTCACGTCTTTTGAGAATGGGAAAGAGACCACTCTAACCCCATTAGCTAATGCTTAGCCATATGACTTCAACTAGCTTACAGATAGACTGGAAAATCCAAATAAAATTCTATTACTAAGGGCAGAAAAGGAGAATGGAGTTGTAGGGTCAAGCCATTCCAAGTCACTCATTTTGGCACAGCAGAAATGTAGCATTAACAGCTTAACAGCATTGTAGAGATCAAATATTCTGCTTCTCGAGGTCATCCTCCACATACCTTGCTATATAGAAACAATATCAATTTAATTAAGTTTCATTATCATTAATACTATGGTAGGGCTTTTTAATATGAGTAAATATGTATAACGAAATTTAACATGTTACCTGTTTCTAGGTATACAGAGGCATAGTACTAAGTACATTCACATTGTACAATCACCAACAGTGATCTGCAGAATTTATTTCACAAAACTGAAACCCTCTATCCATTAAGCAACCCCTGATTCCCTCTCTCCTCCAGCCCCTCATGCCACTATTTAATTTTGATTCTTCTATTCACACGACTCCTTTCAATCTGTTAACTTGACTCATCCAGACCACTATCTAGCGTACCCACAGACTCACATTGATAATCTCTTGATGTGTGAATCAAAGATCACCAACTACTAACTGGAATGGGATGAAAAGGGAGGGGTCCTTGACCTTAGTCCCCATCATGCCCCAATTTCAGCAGGAGAATTGATGTTGACACCTATACATTCCTTTGCCCCCATCTTCCTCTAATTCTAATCTATAAAGTTTTTCTTTTTTATATATAAGCAAAAAGGTTAGAAGGTGAGATCACAGATGCTACCTCTGTAGCCAGGATCAGCCATGCCAAGCACCTCCCTAAGCTGCTAAATTCCTGGCATGTGACAGCTCCAGGGTCGGGTAGAACAATAAGATTAGCTTCCTGAATTGTGGATTTAAATCCTTCACTTAAACTGTTAAACTCAGAGGCACCTCCTTTCTTATATCAGAGAGCCCTTCCTAAACTCAGAGACCTCTCCCCTCTAAAGTCTATAAATGTAAGGAAATATTTAAGGAAATTCCTTTGTTCTATGGGTTGTTATTGGATCTCCCTTCCCAGCTCCCACCAGGGTGAGTGGTTGGCATTACTAAAGGATAGTTTATCTGAAAAAATAATCACAACTGGGCCTGGTGGCACAGGCCTATTATTCCAGCTACTTGGGAAGCTGAGGTAGGAAAATCATAAACTCAAGATAGGCCTGAATTATATAGCAGGTTCAAGGCTAGTCTAAGCAATTTATTGAGACCGTATGTCATAATAAAAAATAAAACATTAAAAATAAAACATGCTTAAGATATATAGTAGCTTAGGTTATAGAGCACTTGACTAGTATGAGGGTACCTACGTTAAATACTCAGTATCCCCCAAAAGTCACCTGCCTAAAACTGTAAGTAGTTTTGAAATAAAATTAAAAACGTATAGTGTTTTATCTCCTTTAACAGTGTTTGTTTCAGAATCTGTAGTTTTTTAGATTAATTTACTTCACTAAGATCATTTGACATTGTCACTTTAAAATATTTTTGAGGGTCTGAGAGCTGGCTCAGTGGGTAAGAGCACTTTCTGTACAAACATGAAGACGAGTTCAAATCTCCAACACCCATGTGAAAGCAGGCATGGCCAAGTATGCCTGTAACCCCAGTGCTGGGTGGTGGGTGGAGACCAGAGGATTGCTGGGACCTGCTGAATGCCAATCTAGCTCCAGATTCAGTGAGAGACCCTATCCAAATGAATAAGGCCCAAAGTGATGGAACAGGATACCCAACATCCTTCCATGCACAGGTACAGGTGTGAATACTTGCACATACACCACATACATATACTATGCGCATTCACACACACACAATATAAAATTTTATTGAAAGTCTTAGTAGTAAGATAAAACAAATCTTTACTTTTGGTAATGGTACAGAAGATGGCAGAGTCTGTTACAGACAGGTATTGACTACCTGGATATCTCATGATCTAGGAATAAACATTGAGGCACATGGGAGTCTTCCTGATAGGACCAATCTGGCAGGTTAAAATCATATGGTGGCATTCAAATCAAGATGAACTTAAGATTAATGCTTTAGGTTCAGTATCTCTTGAGGAGAAAAAAAATTAAGTTTACCCTAATCAGTCATGCAGACTGGCTTGCAAAGAAACAGTCCAAGATGGGGCTGAGAGAAGAGAAGGACTTCCTCACTTCTCCAGCTGAGTTTCTTCTCTGTAACCCACCCCTCTGACTCTAGTCCTCATTCACTGAACCCTGCTTAGGGATACCTGGAAAATGCTTAGCATCTTCCTCTACCACAGAACAGAAAAGATGGTGCACCATGGTAGGTCTCAATCAGGAAAACAAATTTGAGCTTCCTCAATCTGATCTTTCCAGACATTCAGGAGTGGACTGTTACCATCACACATAATTCAAAATCAAAATCAAAATAACTGATATGTATCAAGTACTTATCCTGTGATAGGAAACAGCATTTCTTTCAATCTCCTTAATAAGGCAGTGGTGGTTTATAGCTGAAGAAATGGATGTCAAACGTCATTTGTTTAAAGTCACAAAAATGATGAAAAAGTAATGAAGCTAGGATTAAAGCTAGGCAGTCCAACCCCAGAGCCTGTGTTCTCGCCTATGTTTTTTAATATAAATTTTATTCTGTTTTTCTACAGATGACATAGCCTTTACCTACTAAGCCATCTCACTGGTCTTATTTTGGTTTTTTTTTTTGATACACACACACACACACACGCATGCACACAATGAATTTTATATTAAAAATAAAATAATTTGAGTTCACATCTCTTTTGTAGTTTCCATTATTTAAGGATCAAGACAGAGAAAATGTTTTCTGAATCTGGAGACAATTCCCAATTATCTGTGACTGATGGCAGATTTCTGTATTGTCAGGCTGGTTGACTTTTCCTTGTTTTTGCTGACCATCCTTTCATTGTTTATTAACACTCCCACCAGAAGGTGAAGAGAACAGAAGGAGTAAGTCCAAGTTGTTCAAACATTGCCCTGGGGAAGCAGGTTTCCAAAGCATTGGTTAGTGCTCAGGGAGAATGGAAGGAAAGAAAGCTACTGAAATGAATATGCCCAGCTGTGTTTGCCTAGTCCCCTTCCACTGCCTCTTCCTCTCCTTCACCTGCCTTTTCCAAACCCTTCCCATTTTCCATCTGGCAGTGCCTTTCAATCCCACACAAAGCAATCTGGGTCTATAATTGAGAATTAGAAAAGGCACAGCTAAAGACTTCCCTGCTTGGGAGAGGGCTACAGCCTGAGGCCCCTGAAGTGGGTGGGCCATGGACCTGGGTCCTCCCTTCAGATATTACATATGACTCTGCTTGGTCTGGGGAAAAGCAACACAGAAATCCAGGAACATGGAGCTACAAAAAAATCAAGAAATGATTGCATAGGAAGTGAATATTAAGTAACAATCCACCAGCCTGGGAATAGCTTAGTCAATTAAGCCCAAGTCCCAGTACTCATGTGAAAAATCCATGTGTTGCGGCACACACTTAGTATCTTAGCACTGGGGAGGTGAAGACAGGTGTACTCCTGAGGCTTGCTGGCCAGCCAGCCTAAACAATTGATGAGCTGTAGGCCACTGAGAAATCCTGTCTCAAAACACAAGGTAGATAGCACCTGAGGAGCAACATCTGAGGCTGAGTTCTGGCCTACTCACACACACACACACACACACACACACATACACACACACACACACACACCACAAATCCATTATCCTGCTGTACTAGGAAAGATGTCACACTATAACAATAGTCCCGTACTTGAGACTTACCTTAAATCTAAGAAAGGATCAGAGACCAGTGTTCCCAAGGGGACCAGAGGGTTTCTTTGGGGGCTGAGATGTTTGGTGGAGACTGCCAAGCCAGTGGCACCCAACCCATCTAGCTACACTATCTGTCACATATATGTTTCATTTGTGTAAGAAATTCTCATCTCAATCAAAGGGTAGTGCACAAGTATTTGTGTATGCATGTGTATCCTGTGTGCAGGTACTTGGGGGTATGTGTAATTGGGTGTGTGCAT